TATGAATTGTTGTTTTGTTTACCATAGAACTTTATAGTTACATGGAGGGGGGGTCCTCTCTGTGGAGGCCGCCATTTTTTTTACTGTCGTCCAAACGGGAAAATGACAACTGAAGTTCACCACAGGTTCTCTTTAATGTTGTGAAGGGGAGGGTGAGATGAGGAGTATTCATCTGCAACATACAACTTCACCTCTAGATGTCACTAAATTCGACATACTCAACCTTTAACCCAAACAACCAAAGGGTTTTCCGCACCAAAAGAATTTACCAAAAATGTTACACTGTTGGGTTCACAATTAGCTGATGTTGTCCTGAAAGAGTGCAGTAACCTCAGTATCAACATTTCTGTGACTTTTGGGATCAGTTAGATCTCAGTGTGGATGATGTCAACACATTAATACGAGGTATAAATGTAACCAGGTCAAAATGTCTTGATAAAAGGGGCTAAAATAACATTAAAGAAAGTTGTCGATGTATTATGATAATTACAAATCGTCCATCCACCCATTCATCCATTATCTATAATGCTTGTTCTTTGAGGGTCTTTGGGGGAAGCTGGAGCCAATCCCAGCTGACATTGGGGTTGGGGTACAGAACAGGTCACCACTGTATCACAGCCCCCACATACAGAGACCAGAAACAATTCACTCTCACAATCATACCTGCAGTCTTTGAGAACAGAATTAATCATCAAATGCAAATTCATTGCAACGATGTAAAAATCAAATTTTTCCAGTTTCTATCGTTGCCTCCATTGATTCTTCAAATGTCACATCCGACTATCATGCAGCAGGTTTCAGACTTAACAGGCTCTGTCTTATACCTGGCACAAAGCAGCACCAAGCATGTGGCAAGGGTTTTCTTCTTGTTTAAATAGCAAATGCATTTGTGCCCATCTGAGCAGCCTTGAGCCGGCATCACCGTTGTAGCATTGCTATCTGGAGGCAGCAGAATGGGATTGTGCTTTTGACCGACAGCAACATGGTCTGAAGCCTCCAGTATTCCACTGTTATTGAAAGGCTCATTATCGAGAAAGTCATATTTATTTATACACATTACACAAAACTCTGCTATCACACACAAACGGTCTTCTCATGATTCTTTAAGAGACTAAGCACAATTCTACTGAGCCATGAGCCGGGTGCAGCAAACCTTTTACTCCGGTTAATGAAAGTGGATTTGGATGCATCCTATCTGCACCACAAGCTTAGATCGTCAAAACAGAGCCCACTGTTTAGAATCAACATGCACTGTGGATGTGCACATATAAATTTGTTGAATGCAATTAGCTGACACTTGCAGTCAAGACCAAGTGCAATTAGAGTAAGGATCTCCGATTGGTTACATGCTCTTCACACAGGTTGTTTTGTGGAGAACATAACCACCTTGTTTTCCTCTTGAAAAGAGGCCCTCATGTAAAATTGGACCTCTTACTCAAAATGAGCCTCGTGTCTGAGCTGTGTGTACGAGTGGGACAGGCCTCTCGACTGAAGAGGTGATATTAACCCATTTCACATAAGAAGCCTCCTTCCTAATTTTGAGCGTTTCTTAGCGGAGGAGGCGAGCTCGACAGCTTCGCTGTATCGCCACTCAGCCACAGATCAAAGCGCCAACCCCCAACTGGATTAATGGGCCGCTCTCAGGGTGATTACGGCACACACACTCAGGTATACACACAGCACGCTCCATGTGAAGTGGATTTCTTCATCTTGTTTTGAAAGGATTAGCCCCTCCACCACCCAACCAACCCACAATGTGACGGCAAACAAAAATCTAGACGACACCACATCTGCAACGCTCAGTTCAGATCATCTCAACCTTGAAGACATCTCAGCCTCCTACAGCCAGTTTAAGTTGGAAGCAAATGTGGAACATACATCATCCCTAATGTGGAGATATATTATACAGCAGTATTTGGTAATGGCGTGTATTCATAGTGTCAATGGCTGTGTTAAAGTGACGGGAGTTATCCTGCTAAATTATGGTTGTAATCATGACCCCTGCCATCAGTAAAGCTTCACTCTAATATCACTAATGGCCAGTGTAGGTAATTGAAGCACATTAAACATCTAAGGATCCACATGATGTCTTTCAGAAAATTTATGACAATGTTTTGTTTTATGGCTTTCCACCGGTTCTTGTCCAACTTAAGTCATTTCCATAATTGTGTCTGACACACTCTTAGTTAATGTGATGCATTTGAGAACGGCACAGACGGACGCTGTGTATCTATTAAAAAGCTTAACTGCTTGTTTCTGGATGTGCCAGCGCTTCTGTAAGCTTAGCATTCACACATAAAAGCTGGATCAGGTGAATAATTTATGATTCTCATCCCTCTCTGTGAAAGCGTAACACACTCTGAATCTGCTCTAAAAAAGAAATCATTCCATCGCTGCAGTAAATGTTGAGCAAGGCCTAAATTGTGCATTAGAGAAATTTCAATGTGGAGTTGCGTAACTTGGTAGCATCTCTACAGCAGCTGCACTCTCTCATCTGCTGGTGTTTCCCAGCGCAGGAAGAGGCCGGCCAAGTTGTCTTACACATGACGGCTTCAATCTGCTGTGGGACGGCTGAATAATTTAAAGTTCTTACGCAGGACCATCTGGCAAGTCCTACGCACGCGTGCAAAGACACACAGCCTTCTTCAGATACCTTCAGTGACGCGAGAGTGGGACGAGGCAGCGGGACCCCTGCACAGGCAGATTGAGCTGCTTACCAGCAAAGTGAAATGCTGTGTCAGACTGACAGTTTATCTGGGAGGACACAGGCAATCGGAGCGGGAGCTCACATACTGTTGATATGACATGAAATCCATTTTTATTCCACACTCAAGTTGTATGTAAGCTGAAATGCTGAATCTCTTCCTGTCTCTTATACGCACACACACACACACACACACACACACACACACACACACACACACTTCTGTTTGATCAGGAGATTGCAGACTAAGAGAAACATGATATAATATCATCTCCACATTGCAGAAAATGTAAGGGGGGGAATAGGGGAAAACAAAAATGCTGTATCTGCAGACAGCAGGCACAGAGACACACACACACACACACACACACACACACACACACACACTGTAAAAATACACATACATTTTCTAAAGAGGATGTTTATTCCCCCACACAGAAAACAAGTGCGGTGGTTGAACTTTTCATCTCACTGCAGTGATGTATATTCCTGAACACACCAGATGTACATCGACCTGCAACGCTTCAGCAGCTGTCAAAAAAATTGACAGGAAAAGAACATTTTATATTTCAGGAATCAAAAAATAGGGGGGGGGGTGCCTTTAAAGCTTATAGTTCACTACACTTCCATGTCTGACTAATATTCAACAATAGATGTGACCCTGTTAGAAATGTGGAAACCAACGACTCCCTGCTGCTCCTCCAGAAACTTTTAACCACCTTCACAATGAGCTGAGCATCTTTGCGCATCCGCCCTCCTCCCGTCTCCTCCTCCCGCCCTCCAGGAACCCGCCCCGGTTCTCCCAGCGCAGCCTCCTCCAGTCAGTCCGCGGTCCACAACAGCGAGCGCCACACTGGTCCGCGGTGCAGGAGGAGGGCGCTCCAGTACGCGTGGACTTGAGAGGAACTCCTGTTTTGTTTTCCTCCACAGCGCACCGAGACCAGGCGCACGACCGGACGCACTCTGAGTTCTATCTGTTGTTGTTTTTTTTGTGTGCGCACCTGGCTGCTCCTGCGCGCACATCGAGAGGAACCACAGACTTGGAGCCCCCATTGACTTCCACACCTCCGCCACTTGCCCCGCACGACCTGGGCGCACGATGTGGAGAAGCTGCCCGACCTCCGCTGCATCCCGGCTCTTCCTTCTGTCTGCAAGGGGGTAGGCGCCGTATCCCACTGAGGATGCTGCACAGGTAAACACATCTCTTCTTTTATTAAGAATTACAATCAGCCAAAATATGCTCTTTGTGCACAAGATGCAGGATGGAGCGCAGTGCAAAGATTCCACATCCACACAGTGTTCAGTGTCCATGGTGAGTTTAGTGGTCTCCATACTGTTGTGTATAATATTCATATTGAAACAAAAGCCTCACATTGTCAAGATGGAAACAATCTTCTAGACAAGAAACTTGAGTGACCCTCCTTGCGGGGTTGTTCTATTGCAGCTCTTTGATCAAACATTTGGTGGAGACACAAATAAATCTTAATGTGCACCCAGCAGAGCGTGAAACAGCTAGAACTCACACACTGTTAAACTATTTCCTGTGTATTTCTCATGAACCTTCCTCCACATCCATTGTCAGCACTGTCACAGTGTCTGTGCAACATTGTGCATGTTGCCACATTCATCCTCAGATCCTCCACCTTGGTATTTCAAGAGGTGGAGCGCTAAGAAGTCCAGTTCAACACATTTCCTGCCTCAGTGTTCAACATGTATTTCTTCCCTTGTGTTGGTGCGCTGTCTCTGGGGATTTATTGCTGTCCCAGGCGACAGGTGCTATTTCCAGTGCCGCTCCCTGTCATCATTACTCTGCGTTAACTATCTAAGATGGCTTTTGTTATTAGTTAACTGCCCAGAGCTCTCTCTCGCAGAGAAAAGGCAAAGAGCGGAGCAATGAGCTCTGTAAGGTGTAGCTGCGTGTTACAGTGCATCGGTGTAACACCTACACCATGGAGACTCTTCTCTCTTCCAGTTGTGCACTGTATCTGCATCTGAATACAAAGAATCAAATGCAGTTTCTCTTTGTGCTATAATATTATTTAGTATTATTTATTTTGCTTTACACAATCGCTTTGTAATCCGAGACTGTTCTGGCCAATAGATAAATGAAGGAATCAACCAATTAGCTATCTGGCATATTTAGCAATTTCATGAAAAATCTGATTGCAGATGAAATTTGATTAATTTTGAAATTTCTGATTCAGTCTGTTACAATGTGGTCATATTCTATCATCATTATATGTGATAAAGTGATACCAGGTAGCATTTACACTGTTCCCATGCGAGAACCACATGTAGCTGATAAATATAAATATACATAGATCAAAAGAAGTTAAAGTAGTGCGGTGTGATAGAACAGCTTTCATGAAAGCTATAATCAGTTTTTATTAAAAAAGTTTTTTGTGCAGCGATGTGTTGCCTATCTTTAGTTACTTAATGACATTTATTGATCTAATTGGGGTGGAAAAAAACATAGTAGTTGTGTGTAGACCTTATGTAGCACAGTTTGTGTTGGATTTTGTGTTATTCTTGCTGTACAGTATATCTGTTCCAAGTATCGATTACCGGTGTCCCTGATTAGTAATAATCAGTATCTGCACTGATAAAACCTGTTTGGTCACACACTTGACCTGTGGATAAGGACATTGTGACAAACATGCTGTTGTGTTAGCAGGAGTATTGCTGATCCTGAGCTGAAGACAGTCGTGATATTGCCTTTAGTGTTGACTGTGATCTATGACTACTTTTTAAAACACGACCAGCATCTCCCTTCTCATTTACCACAGTAGTTCACTTTTCCTAGAGTTGGTCAATAAGAAAATGCTCATATGAAGCATTATTTGAACCGAGGGAAGTTTCTAAAATTCCATCATTTCTCTCGTGTGGACAGGTTGTAGGGCGTTCACTACCGACATCAGCGCATTTAATCACTGCTCAGTGACGCTCTTTATCCTGACTCATTTGTCCTTTCGCTGTGAGGGAAAATATTCCTAACTTCACTTTCCACTGCTCTGTCCACTTTTATTTCCCTAATATAATGGTATTCCTCCTCAACCATTAACGTAGGAAATTACACTTATTTATATATTATATCATATATATTCTTCTCTTCATTCAGTCCATCCAGGCTCCGCTCACTGAACCTTTTTCTCTCAAGCTGCACACACACAGACGTCTCTGATCCGCGACATATTTTTAGTTTCTCAGTGTCCATATGTTCATTTTGTTTGTAACCACGATATCAACACTGATCTCCACCTAATGATTGATACATTTCTCTCTTTCTCTCCCACTCGCACTAACACACACGCACTGACACACATCGCCACACGCACACAAACACAGCATCATTGGTCACATCTGTAAACTCCCACTGGGTAAAAACAACATAATTTGGTCTTCACGAACACAAACGACAGGCTTGATTATTTGCATAAAGCGTCAGGAAATGTGTCTGCAAATATGTAGTGCTGCAAAAGATTCTAACAAAGACAACAAGATAAGTACGTTGGGTTCTTCGTCTTGCTGGTTGTGTCCAATGTAAAGAGAAAATAGTTGATTTTCATTCTGCACTTACTGTAATCTGGTGAAAACCAGGATGAGTCCATGTCTGAGCAATGATGCTGCAGATGGAGAGAATCTACCGATGAGAGACACTACAGGACAGTGGAACGCTCACGAACAAACCAGTCTCAGGCGCTGCAAGACGCTTTCACCTGTGAAGATTAAAGAAGACAATTAACATGGTTGAGAAAAGGTTTTAGTAGCAAGTAACAACATGTATCGTAATCTGGATATGAAGCAATTTATCTCAGTATATGAGATATTCATGTTGCACACACCTAGATAAAGGGAGGATTGGTAACCGAATTAGATGATTGGTCATGTTGCAGTCCTGCAAGGCTTTTTTTCCCAGAAGACTTTTTTTTATTGATGTGAAGAGGATTTCAACAAATAAGATAAAAAGTAAAATCAGAAACAACCACACGTTTTAGAGTGCTTTGTCTGTGCATCTGTTATTATTCTATTTGGTGATGTTGACTGTCGTTATTTGGCTGTTTTGACTTTGTTATGTTGAGGCTTAAACCTCATAATTATCAGGAAAAAAATACACTGAGGTCATGACCTCAGGGCCCTCATCAGTAGCTACACTGCATTCCACTCACAGATCTCATTTACCCCCAGTTATCTGCCATCTTTCAGCTCAACCCAAAGACAACTTCTGCATCACCTCAGTGTGACACCCATGCATCACAGTCTTCGAGTATTGCTCTCATCAGACGATAGCAGTAGATGAGTTCCTGAAGCTTCCAGAGGTCACGGCGGCACACACACACACACAAACACCTCACACGCACACACACCTAGCAACGGCAGCCAGGAAGCCATATTGTCCTATTCATCTTAATGACTCCAGTGGGCAGGGCGGAAGCGGACATTGAGGAAGGGCCTGAAAACGCTCTTCAGTGACCTTCTGGGAGTAACAAATGGAGTGCCTCATGCCTCGTGCCTCGTGCCTGGCAGACGGTCCGGCCCAGCTCGGCACGGGAGGCTGCCAACTCCAGTAAAACTGTGGAAAGAAACGAGCGAAGGAGAGAGTGAGTCTATCTGTCTGATTTTACAGCAGCCTCTCCAGTGCGTCAGTCCGGCCGCTTCCTCACGTCCATGCCAGTTATTGCATTTCACTCACGTTCGCCTTTGCACTAATTAAAGTCATCCAGTATTCAGGCCCACCTATACTGCACCCACACGACCTTGGTTGAGGCTTCCTGGTTACTTTAGCGAGCAGGACTCTTCGGCGAGAAGTGAGGCCCTGTGACATGCTGTGTCATCACTCTAGACTCACTTTGGTCAACCTGCTATCTCTAATTTACAAAGACGTGTTTGGGTGCCTTCAACGTGGATTCATTTCTTTCTTAGCAAGCAATTATAGAGGCGCCGGGGGGGGTGGGGTGTGTGTGAAGAGGAGGAGGGTGGCTCTGTGGGACTGAAATCTGAGGATGGTGCAGAAATTTGTCAGGCCTCTGTGCTGACAGACACCCTTATCCAAGTCATCTTCTCGTGGATGGTGATATATTACTAAGGTGACCGTAATCATTATTCACAGACTCGTCTTCCTCTCCCTGGCACCCCTTCCTCCTGCGTCTGATCAAGTGTGTTCTATTATCCCGCCGTAATGATTTGTGGAGGTCTGCGGTGCTGTAGCAGCTGAAGGGCGGCGTGTTGCAGAGCCTTCCAAAACAATACCATAACCCACATCCATTAACCATATGGGTTCCATTCCCCAGATTTGCTTGATGCAATTTCGGTGTCCTCCCACAGCGGAGCCACACTGCTGTCCTGGGATTCATTTAATTAGATGATTCTTCTTTTTTCCCTCCTCCGCTTTCTACAGCTCGGCTTTCTAAAAAAAACACTTGTTTCAATTGAATTTGTTCTGTGGTTCAAATAAAGGCCACGGTTTAGTATTATTCATATCAGTGATTATGAGTTTTCTTAGTTTTCTTTTTGAGGAATTTAGTCGATAAATGTTAGAATATTCTGATTTCCCCAGTTTTTTCAGGACAACAGCCAAACAGAAGAATATTCAAGTTACAGCGACATAACACTGAACAAAAGCTTCACATAGTAGAGGCTGTTACTAAATAATATTTAGCTTGATTTTAATGACTGATCATCAAAGATCATTTTCAGCTGATTGAATACTAATCAAACAATCGATTCATTTGGTGGAGTGTGTGTGTGTTAATGAACAAGGACACATAGCGCTGATAGTGGTGAAAACTCTACAGGGCATCTTTGTTCATCTGAACGATTCCTGAGAGTTTTGTGAAGGACCGGGTCGTCCACGCAGATATGGAGCAGCCAGTTAACCAGCTCCAACATATACACTTACTTCATTTCGACCTGTCCACCTGCCCGTGCTCTCAGACCAGAGTCGTCAGCCGGTGAGTCATACACTGAAGCAGAGGCGACTGAATGAGTCACAGAACACTCGGCATCCAGCAGTTGTCATTCATGTGTTTCGGGGGCGTAGCGTCGATGAGAGGACTGATGGGAGAGGTTAATATGTATCAGTGGCATATTTTAGCCTGCTCTTGGTTACTTTTCCAGGATTACCTGCCTTAGCCTTAAAACATCATTTGGGACCTTTGGCATTCGATCATAATTGCTCAGAGATAAACAGTAAAT